CTTTCATAAATTTTATGGCATGTCTTCTATTTAAAAGGAAAAGAATAAGTATTCTTGCATCTGGCCTTAGAAATGTGAAGTAATATTCTCAAGTTTATTTTTTCCAAGTGTAGCTGAAATATTTTTGCAGGTAAAATAAAGCTAATAATACATGTGCTATTTAGACCTTATTAAACCTAATGTTGAACTATTTTTATATCTGCTATATTTCAGAAAGCAAATTAGGAAACTATATATTTGCTTAAAAATTGGCATTTAGTAACCTTAATTCTTTTTATAGAAGGCTTAAAGTATTGTCTCCTCTTTTTGCACTAAGTGTGGATTTTTTTAGATGCTTCTCAAAATTTTCAGTGTGTAAGCTAAACCTAATTCTAAACTAAGAATTCTCAAAAAGACTTGTTCAAAACGGAAAGACTGATGAAAAGTAAAATGGACTACTTTTGTAACTTACCTGTTTGTTAGGAAATGGAATGGTCTTTTTGATTTAAAATGAATAAAAATAGATTATTACATCTTTTGTATTGAGACCGATTGTTCTCTTATGAGCCTAGGACATTTGGGAACATGATTGTTTTGTATTAAAATTCAAAGTGATTATTATCAGCTTAATTGGATTAAAAAAGTACTTCAAGAAATTATTTTATCATATCTGCTTCTGTTTTTCCAAAAGGTTAAAACTTGTAAAAAAATATATATATATATATATATAAATAGAATTGAGTTTACTAATGGTAAACGTTTTTATTCTGGGATTCGGTCATTGGAATTTATATTAAAAGACAAGTTATTAAAAAGGAAAGGTTCGTTCATGATCAAGGTAAAGAATATGAAAACCTTAGGCGTAATCCATGGTGGATAGGCATTATGGTTTCCACTTTGGCAGGAGGCAGACTATTCACAGACCTATTTACTTACATGGGCTAAAAAACTAACTAAATACCTAATGGTATTTTATTTTTGTTTACTGAATTTAAGAGATTGGTGTTAGTTTTCATAGCTGTAGTCCATTCTAATAATTTCTGATCTTCTAGTGGCTACTTAGACATTATTTGAAGCTGTCTGAAGAATGCACTTTATGAATTGAAAAACTCTGAATTGCCTGACCTCATTATCACATGGGCTTATATTTTGGGAACACATGGAACTGATGTAGGCTTTTCCTAAGACCAAGGATAATGTACTATTTGATAAAATGGAAATAAAAGTGAATTGGTAAATAGCTTACAGTCTATGCTTTAAGTTTAAGAAATAGAATGGCACTTCATATATTCTCATTTGTGGGAGCTAAAAATTACAATAATCGAACTTACGGAGATAGAGAGTAGAATGATGGTTATCAGAGGCTGGGAGGCATTGAAGGGATAGGAAGGGAAGTGAGGTTGATTAATGGGTATGAAAATACAGTTAGTTAGAACGAATTAGTTCTAGTGTTTGATAGCCTAACAGAGTGACTACAGTCAGCAATAACTTTTTATACATTTAAAAATAAAAGAGTGTAATTGGGACGTTTGTAACACAAATGAATGCTTGAAGCAGTAGATACACCCTGATGTAATTATTATGAATCATATACCTGTATCAAAATATCTCATGTATCCCATACATATATACACCTACCACATACCCATAAAAATTAAAAATTTAAAAAAATTTTAAAAGAAATGGAATGGCAAATAATGGAATGTAAACTTTAAATAGTTAGCTTTGACCAGAGGTCAGCAAATATCCTCCATGGGCTAAATCCAGATGGCCACCTGTTTTCAAGCCTAACTTATTCACACTTTCTGGCCCTTTGCAGAAAAAGTGTGCCGTCTTAGACTCTAGAAAATGGACTTTTCCCACCATTCATTGAATCATTAGGAGATAGGCATCTTCTAAAGATTTTTTTATATTTTGTAATAATTGATACATAGATAAAATTGTATATTACATGTAAGGTATGATGAGTAACAGAATTAATACTTAAAAACTCATCACACCTAACTAAAGACACGGAAAGCTGCCAATTACGTATATGTATGTTCTTCCTATTTTCTTACCTCTTTCCCCACGTCATTTTTTATTGTTCCTTCCCCTTTTTTAATCACACATATATATTCTTCAAACATACTGTTTCATTGTTTGAAGCTTTCTACATATAGTGTCTGAATGTGAAGTCTTACTCGCTTTTTTGAGTTTATGTTTAAAATTAATTCTTGTGCTTATATGCATGGATGGTTTAGTTGCTCTGTAGTATTCTGTTTGAGTATACCACATCAAGTGTTCATTTTCCTATCAGTTGACATTTATTTTTAGTTTTTGTTGGTAGAAACAGTACACTCAAAAAATACTTGACTGTCCCTTGGTACACATATGCAAGAGACTTTATACATAAGAGTGGAGTTGTTGACTTGTCAATTTTGCAAAATAATGCCAGGTATTTTCCAAAATGATGATATTCTCTTGAGTAGTACTCCCGGAACTTTGCAATGTTTTTATTGTTAATGTAGCATATATAAAAAAGTATCTCATAATTTTAACTTGTGTTTTCCTGACCTCCTTTCCTGACCTTAGATCAGGAATTTTTCATGTTCATTTGCCATTCATTTCCCTCTACTGTAAAATTTGCCTTTTGTCACTGCTGACAATTTTGCTTTTCATGTTTAGGTGTTTACTGAGATTTGTGTGTATGTGTGCAAGATGTAAGGTATCTAATTCCTCCCCTCCTCCCCCACCCCGTGGATAATCAGTTATTTAACCCCTGTTTATTGAATAGTTCTTTTCTTCAGTAATTTCCCACAGGTCTTTCTCTATATATCAAGTATGAGTGTTTCTGGGCTCAGAGACGTTTGTTCCATCTGTCATTTCTTTTTTTCCTGGGCCAGTCCCACACTGTCGTCATTATAAATTAGTAAGTCCTACTGATTGTTAGGGCAAGAGGCTCAATTCCCTAAACCAAATTCTTTAAGGGTATTTTGGCTGATAGTTCCATAAGGAGTTTAAAATCTTCCCACAAAGAAACATCAGCCCAGATGGACTTACAGGTGAGTTCTAACATACCTTAAGAAAACAATGTTACATTGGGTGCAGAGGCGCACACCTGTAATCCCAACGGAGGCTGAGGTTGGGTGATCTCTCGAGTCCAGAAGTTTGAGACCAGCCTGGGCAACATAACGAGACCAAAGATATTGTTGGACATTGTGAATTTTACCTTATTGGGTACTGGATGTTTTGTGTTCCTATAAATATTCTTGAGCTTTGTCTTGGGAGGGGATTAAGTTACTTAGAACCAGTTGGATACTTTTGGATCTTTCTTCTAAACTTGTTAGGGCTAGTGGCTAGTGTTTTTTTCCACTCCTAAAGCAAAATCCTCTGTGTACCTGATGCCCTGTGAATTCAGAGGTTTTCCGTTCTGGTGGGTGGTAGCAGGGATTATTCCTACCTCTGTAAACTGTAAGGATTTCCCCACTAATCCTTTGTGATGGTTCTTTCCCCAGCCTGAGTACTTGCCCCACCATGTGTGTGCATTCATCAGGACTCTGCTGCAGAGTGTACCCTGTGGCAGGCCAGGTCTCAGCACAGGCCCCCATAACAACTGTTTCAGTACTGAGTGAGTGGCTAAGTTAAATGCTAAAAGATAAAAAAGCCAAGGCCCTTATACAAAGGCTGGAATGTAACAAAAGCCCACCAAGAATTTTGCCCAGGCCTTTATTGGGCCTTAAAGCATGACAAAAAAAAAATGAAGGAATTCTTAGCTGGACCCATTTAGGATTAAACAAGTTTATTGGGGTTCTGAAAGAATCACCAAACCTCCCTGATTTAGCAGGAGACAAGCGTAATCACCCTAGCAGCTGGACCCATTTAGATGAAGTGAATTTACTGAGGCTGCAGAGGAAGGTCTTCAGGACTCCAGACCTTAGTTGTAGATTATAAGAAGTTAACCACTTATGTCTTTAGATGAATGCACACTTACACATAGACATATAGCTTAGAAGGTATTATAAGCTCTGGAAAATTTTGTAATTTTGAGTTGGTCTGGTGATCATTTCCAGGCCTTCTCCCTGTAACTGGTTCCAGAAATAAAAACTCTTCCTCCCCGGTTCATCTACATCTTCTTACTGGGTCACAAGAAATAGCAGCCCAACCCTCAGTTTGGTCTGGGAACACCGTGCGCAGCTCTTCCCTCCAATGTCTGCCCTGCAAAGTCTAGCTGCCTTGTTCTCCCTAGACTGTTAGAGAAACTCTGTTTCCTCAACTTAGGGCAACCACCAGCCTCTGCCTGTTTTCTCCCTTTCTGCTTTGTACCCTGGCAGGCCCAGGCCAATTTGGGAGCTTGCCTCATTTGTGTCTCATCAAGAGATCATTGTCCCTTATTGCCTGATGTTCAATGTCTTGAAAACCATTGTTTCTTTTTTTGTTCCTCTTAGTTTTTTAGTTGTTTCAGGCAGGAGGTAAATTCAGTTGCTTTATTTCTGCCAGAAACACAAACCTGTTCTCTGCTTGCCTTTGATCTTAATTTCCCACAGTGAGATTCTGCTAACAGATCTTTTTAAGAAATCCTCGGCCGGGTGCAGTGGCTCACGCCTGTAATCCCAGCACTTTGGGAGGCAGAAGCGGGTGGATCACGAGGTCAGGAGTTCAAGACCAGTCTGCGCAATATGGTGAAACCCCTGTCTCTACTAAAAATACACAAAAAATTTTAGCTGGGCATGGTGGTGCATGCCTGTAGTCCCAGCTACTTTGGGAGGCTGAGGCAGGAGAATCGCTTTAACACGGGAGGCGGAGGTTGCAGTAAGCTGAGATTGTGCCATTGCACTCCAGCCTGGGAGACAGAGTGAGACTCCATCTCAAAAAAGAAATCCTCTGTACATTTGGATTTGTCAACAGATAATCTAGTCCTTTTCACTTCATTCTATTCTGTTTACTTGGTTGTGAGTTGCCCTTTCAGACTTACAGCTAGACAAAATTTTGATAAGCATACCTCCTATATTAGGGTAATTCACAGAAACAGAACTAATAGGGAGTGTGTGTATAAAAGATTTATTATAAGGAATTTGCCCATACAATTAGGAAGGCTGAGAAGTCTCAGGATCTGCAGTTGACAAGCTGGAGAGGCAGGCAAACTGATGTGTAGTCCCAGTCTGAGCCCAAGGCTGGAAAAGTGTTCCAACTCAAGCTGTTTGGCTGTAGGAGCTCCCTGTTACTCCTGGGAGGTCAGCCTTTTTGTTCTATTTCGTCTTCAGTCGATTGGCTGAGGCCCACCCACAGTGGAGAAGACAATGTACTATACTCAGTCTCCCAATTGAAATGTTAATCTCATCCAGAAACTCAATTGGAAAACTATTTATGTATTCACAACACGTCTGACACCAAATTGTGTTTTCCACACCAATCAATTATCCCATTCTCACTAAAACCTTGTTCTCCACAACCCCTTTATTTTCTAAAGACATTCCTAAGTCTTTAGTAAATAACTTTTCAACCAATTGCCAATCAGGAAATCTTTTAATCTAGCTGTGACTTGGAAGCCGCCCCCTGTCCCCCATCCCTTCCAATTGCCCTGCCTTTCTGGATGGAACCAGTGTATATCTTAACAGGTATTTGATTGATGTCCCATGTCTCCCTAAAATGTATAAAACTAAGCTGTACCCTGACCACCTTGGGCACGTGTTCTTAGGATCTCCTGAGAGCTGTCACCAGCCATTGGTCACTCATTTGGCTTAGAATAAATCTCTTCAAATATTTTACAGAGTTTGTCTCTTTTTGTCAAGGAAACACAGATGTATCAAGGGCAGGAGGTGAACTTTGTGATTAAAAATATAATGAGGCCGGGCACAGTGGCTCACGCCTGTAATCCCAGCACTTTGGGAGGCCGAGGCGGGCGGATCACAAGGTTAGGAGATCGAGACCATCCTGGCTAACTCGGTGAAACCCCGTCTCTACTAAAAATACAAAAAATTAGCCGGGCGTGGTGGCAGGCGCCTGTAGTCCCAGCTACTCGGGAGGCTGAGGCAGGAGAATGGCGTGAACCGGAGAGGCGGAGCTTGCAGTCAGCCGAGATTGTGTCACTGCACTCCAGCCTGGGAGACAGAGCGAGACTCCGTCTCAAAAAAAAAAAAAAAAAGAAATGTAGGTCAGGCCTCTGAGCCCAAGCCAAGCTATCGCATCCCCTGTGACCTGCACATATACGCCTGTGACTTGCATGTCCGCATCCCCTGTGACTTACACTTAAACGCCCAGATGGCCTGAAGTAACTGAAGAACCACAAAAGAAGGGAAAATGCCCTGCCCCGCCTTAACTGATGACATTCTACCACAAAAGAAGTGAAAATGGCTAGTCATTCCCTTAAGCGATGACATAATCTTGCGAAATTCCTTTTCCTGGCTCATCTCGGGTCAAAATGTTCCCCCACTGAGCACCTTGTGACTCCCACTCTTACCCGCCAGAGAACAACCTCCCTTTGACTGTAATTTTCCTTGACCTATCCAAATCCTATAAAACGGCCCCACCCTTATCTCCCTTGGCTGACTCCTTTTTCGGACTCAGCCGCCTGCACCCAGGTGAAACAAACAGCCATGTTGCTCACACAAAGCCTGTTTGGTGGTCTCTTCACATGGAGGCGCATGACTCTCTCTCTCTCTCTCTCTCTCTCTCTCTCTCTCTCTCTCTCTCTCTCTCTCTCTCTCTCTCTATATATATATATATATATATATAGAAATTTCAAGTTGCAGTGAGCAGCTCTGAGGTATGTTCATGAACGGCACACAGATGCAAAACAATAATCTGGAGGGCTAGCAGTCTTCCCGAGTTCAGGAGGTACCTTTTTAAGGCCAGTTCCTCTCGCTCCAACACTGCCAAATCAGCGACTCTGGTGCTTGTTCAACTGAAGCAAAGAAGGGCGCAGCTACTCTTGGATCCAGCATTTTCCTAACAAGGGCTAAGAGTGAAGCTGACTTTGCCACCCAGGTCTATGTTTAGGAAAGCAACCAGCAGGAGGGAAGAAAAAGGTGAGGGATATTCTCGGCCTCCTGACACTCCCCTGTGTAGTCGGAACAATCTAACCCCAGAGTCTTGAGCAACGAGTGTCCCTCGAGCTGTTCTCCAGGGTCGCTCCACCGGACAGAGCAGGTTTCTCTTCCAGTCTCCCCGGCTGCCCTCGCCCCGCCCCCTGCCTCCTACGGGCATCGCTTTATGACGTCACCACGCGCCTCTGCCGGCACGCGCGGGAGGTGGGACCGGGAGGCGGTTCGGGTGCCCCGCCTCGTGCCATACTCTCCTTGCTCGCTTCTGGGTGTCCTTTACTGTCTTGTGTTCTAAGGTGTGCTGAGGGGAAGGACGCGGGAGGTCTCTAGCCTGACACTATGGAGGAAGAGAAAAGCTACAATTTCGACGGTGTGAGCACCAACCGCCTGAAACAGCAGTTGCTGGAAGAAATCCGCAAGAAGTGAGTCGGGGGGCGGCGCGGTGTGGAGTCTGGTCCACGCCCCCCGAGCCTTCACCTGCGGCGTCTCAGGGCCAAAGCCGCTGAGGATACTGGGAGACCGGCCCCGGGATTAACCCCTGGGCACTTCGGTCGACCTGCCCAAGTGTTCCGTGCCAAAGATTCATGTGCCTCTTTGACTAAGCCTTTGGTATTGTAAGTAGGCAGCTTTCGAGGTAGGATGTTCTGCCCTTAGGATCCAAGCATACGGCGTGTGTTTTGCCTATATACTGTAATGCCAAAAGTTGTGTTTGGTTTTGTCGTCTCCATAAATCCAGATTTTTTGTTTAAAATTCCGAAGATTTTATTTAGTTATGCGGGTTTGTTTTTTTTCTTTCATTCCTTTAGGGGGAACTTCATAAAATGGCATTTAGTAAAACTGTTACTCCTTTATGCTTTTTAAAAACAGTATTCGTACTTGGTGTTAAATTTTTGAAACATTTATTTTTTGGACATACTCCCAACTCCATCCACAAGTCCCGTGAGAACTGGACTCTCCTTTGTGCGTAGATAGCGTTCTGGGTTTTCCTCTATTGTAGCTCCAATCACAGTTTTTTAATTGCTTGTGTATTTCTTGTCTTGCTACCAAACTACACGCATTCTGAGGACAGGTTCTGTGTATTCTGAGGAAGTAGAGAGTAAGAGCAAGTACTTGAGGAGAGTGCTGAATGAATGCAAACCCCATCTGTCACTCAGTAATTATGCAATCTTAGACAAGTTAATTAACCTCTTTAATCCTCAGTTTTCTCCACTCTAAGACGGGTATACAAATAGTCATCATCATACTCCTGCAGTTGTGCCCAGGTTGGAATGAAATGCACTATAAAGCACTCACCGTTGGCTTATAATACGCATCCAGTGGAACTTTGCTGCCGCTATTGCTATTTTTCTGTTCACTGTTCACTGAATTCTTCCGTGTTTAATACAATGCCTTGAACATAATAGCACTCAAAACTATTTATTGAATAAATGGTCCTGTCATATGATAATGTTCTATTTATTGATGTCCTAAATAGTTAACCTTTTAAATTAGTGTTTCTTTTTTTCCCTTTGTTTCAGTTTGTCAGCTATTGTGTATTGCCCTAGGTATGCCTTTCTGTAATAATGTGCAGTGCCTAATTTGCTTGGTTCTGAAAAACCAGATAGCTAACTTCTTTGGGATGATATTTAAATTAAAGAATTTCCGAGGGCGGGGCGTGCTGGCTCATGCCTGTAATCCCAGCACTTTGAGAGGCCAAGGCTGGGCGGATGACAAGATCAGGAGTTCAAGACCAGTCTGGTCAGTATGGTGAAACCCCGTCTCTACTAAAAATACAAAAAAAATTAGCCAGGCTTGGTGGCGCATGCCTGTAATCCCAGCTACTCAGGAGGCTGAGGCAGGAGAATTGCTTGAACCCGGGAGGCGGAGGTTGCAGTGAGCCGAGATTGCACCACTGCACTCCAGCCTGGGCGAAAGAGTGAGACTTTGTCTCTTAAATAAATAAATAAATAAAGGATTTCCAGTGGTTGCCTGGGGGTCTTTGAGCTTTAGTGCATATTTGAGTCCTAGAACTAATTGGAAGCCTTCCTTTACCTGAGTCTTGTTTCTTAACCAGTCCTTCAGTAAATGATGTGTCATAGTAAATTGTTCCTGAAGTAGTAGTGGGTTACTATGTATTATTTTTCTGATGTTATTTTTAATTGAATTATAATCAACAAAAACATTTTAAATAACAGGGATGCAGTGCAACTCTCAATGTTTGAACTAAGACACAAGATTACAGAACTGGAAGCCAAACTGAATACTGACAATGAAGGTATATAAGTAAATACTTACATTTGTAACTCCTGTATAATTATTGTTCATTTTACCAGGATTAAATTTCATATATTGAATAATAGTACCAAGGTTTCAGTATTGCTTTTTGGCCACATTAATAATAGTTTATGATAGAGGCTTTAAAATTGATACTTCAGAATATCAAACCTATTACTATTTAATTATTTTTCTACCTTTCAAGTTCAAAATGTTCATTAATTAGCAAAACCTTTGTTACATGACATCAATATATTATTTCTTTATTAAATAAATATCACCAGTTTTCTACTCACCTCAAGTTATACTCTTTGTATCCTAACTTCTAGATTTGGGATATGTTTAAAATCTGTATCTAGGTTTTGGCTATTGTTGTTGGAAGCCTATTGTTTGCTGTGGAGGATGTTGTGTACATACACACTCATGTATCCTTAAAATTTGTAATGTATGCAAGATATGACCCTGCCATATGTAAACACTTTAAATGGAAGACCTTTGTTTTCCCTGTTCTAAAGAGGTTCATTGACTATTGGGAGAAAGTATCAAACCAGAATATGGATATGAAAAGTCATATGAGTTCTATGTGAGGATAAATGAAAACGTAGGGAAGAGAAACCTAACAGAATTTGGGTGAGGTAATAAAAACAGGCTTTCCAGAACAGGCAGTGCTTGAACTGAATGCTAAGGAACAGGAGGAGTTTATTAGGGTTATCAGGGGAGGCATTTATACTCTTCCTCAACTGGGGAGCCATGAACAAAAAGGATTAGTGGCCATATGGGAAATAAAATGCCACTTTCTATAAGTACCCAATGCTTTGTTAAAGCTTGGTTGCAGAATACTGCTTTGTCCCAAGGCTGAAGTAGCTTCCTCTATCTCCATATCTATATCTTAGATATAATTGAGTCTCTGGGGGCAGGCTCTAAGTGTACTTATCAAATACTTGCATTGGCAGGATAGCTAGAACTTCTTCATGTACCCAGTTACAGGAAAAAACAGAAAGCATGCTTACAGGTACACTTGCAGTAACTATACCCACTAGTAAAATGTGGCTCAACAAGTTGTACCAGTTCTCAAAAGGAGCTAGTATGTGGGTATAAAGAGAAAAGGTCAGAATGATAGGAGAGAAAGTTCTTTCCTCCGTGGGCGAAAAGTAAGGCCTAAGGTGAAGGGCAGAAACGTTTACTCCTTTAAAGCCAGGGACTGTGTCAGGTGAGGTAGTTACTATTATTCCCATTATGGAAGAATGAAATTCAGGAATTCAAATAACTTCTAAGGTCATATAGCCAGGGAGTGGCTGAGCCATGACTTGATCCTAGATCATATATTTGCCATGCCTTCAGTAAGTGATAATACAACTGCTATTACCACATCACACTCAAAACAGTTCTGCTTGTCTGTTGCTACATAGCAAACCACCCTATAATTTAGGAGCTTAAAGCAACAAACTTTCTCTTATGATTCTGTGGATTAACTGGGTTGGTTCACCTGATGGTTCTTGACTGGGATCTCTTGTTTGGTTGCAGTCAGGTATACTGAAGATTCAAGTGAACTGGTTATTCCGTGATGACTGATTCACTTGGCTAACATCTGACACTGGCTTTTGACTGGAAGCCCAGCTAGGGCTGCCTGTCAGAAATGCCTCTTGTACCGTTTTCTTCCACAGCATGGTGGTTAGGTTAGGATGTATCCCAAGAGCAAGCATTCCAAAAGACGTAAGTAGAGACTGCCAGGCCATTCAAGGGCTACTCCCAGAACTGGCACAGGTGTATATCCACTGTATTCTATTGGTCATAATAGTCACAGATTCAAGGGACTGGAGAGGTAGACTGCTTTAAGGTCACATTACAGAGCAGCACATGGGATGGGATACGTTATTGCAGTCATCTTTGGAAAATACAGTCTGCCACAGGAGCATTAAACATAAAGCCATTTGGGGAATATGCTAAGTAATTGATAAAAGTGGAACATAGGTCATAATGAGAATGCGGTAAAAGATGAGATTAAAGTTTACGAAGGAGATGAATCAAGAAGACTGCATGATGCTAATGAATTTACATTTATCCTGAAGGCAGTGGGGCAATATTAAAGGTGTTTTAAAATGAATTTATTATTGGAAAAAGGTGCACATGCGACAAATATGGGTGCATTCACTGTTCAGATAATTTGTTCACCCTTTCTGCTTTCTTCTCAAACCTCCACCACCTCTCTACTCAATCCCACTCTTAGGTAATGAGCTTACCCTCCTCTTTCAAAGAAAACAGAGAAGCTATCAGAAGAGGACTTCTGCATGTTTCTACCAGCAGAGCTACCCATCTGCCTGCACCCTTGCACTTCCTCTTCCCTCCTGTTTTATGAATTGTCTGCCCTTATTCTTGTCTCAGGTTATCTCCTCCCTTTGTGCAGTAGATCCTACCTACTCTTACCTACTCAAGGATATCACTCTAGTGATGGCCCTGTCTTCCCGACACTGTTTTCCCTGCTCTACTGGATCATTCCCAACAGCAGACCAACATGCTGAATTTATTTTATCTAAACAACAAATGATAGGCTTCTTTTGGTCCCACTTTTCCCCTTCAGCTAGCATCCCCTGTCCCTGCCCTATTTATAGCAAAAACCTTCGAAAGAATAGTTTTTATTTCTACTTTCTCATCTGCTTATTGTTTGATCTTGCTTGTCACTGGATTAATTTTTAGGTAAACGGTAAACACAGCCAACTCTAAAGAGCTTTATATTCTCAGTCACCTCTTGAAGCCTTTTAGGGTTCATAGGAAACTATGTGTAGAAAATTTGGTTTTATGTTTTAATTTGAATTTTACAACAAAGTTTAGTGATAAGAAAATGGTAAAGAAATGTTCAGGTGACTTTTTTTTTTTTTAAGTGAGAAGAATTAGTATTTGTGTAAAGCTTTAAGTATGTTTTTTTAAAAAATTGAAACCTCACAACTACCCTTTGAAAATAGTATCATTACCTCCATTTTATAGATTGAAAAATGGAGGCCGGGCACGGCAGCTCACACCTGTAATCCCAGCACTTTGGGAGGCCGAGGCAGGCGGATCACCTGAGGTCAGGAGTTTGAGACCAGCCTGGCCAACTTGGTGAAACTGTGTCTCTACTAAAAATAACAAAAGAAAAATTAGCCGAGTGTGGTGGTGGGTGCCTGTAATCCCAGCTACTCTGGAGGCTGAGGCAGGAGAATCGCTTGAACTGGGAGTTGGAGGTTGCAGTGAGCGAAGATTGCAACATTGCACTCCAGCCTGGATGACAAGAATGAGACTCCATCCAAAGAAAAAAAAAAGGAGACTTATTGACAACACACAAGGTTACATCTTCATCCTGGATTTCTCTATTGAGTCTTTTATAGGCTGGTTTCTATGCCCAAATGCCTTTAGCTAGTGGGTAATGTATTAATGGATCCAATATATTTTTTTAAAATCACCTCAGTAAATGCTAAAATTTTTAAAATAAAATTCCATTTGTTTTTCTTATTTCAAAACAAGGAAAAGAATACTTCTATTTATCTCAAACTAGCGTAATACTTAACAATGAAATAGTAGAGGCATTTCCATTCTTGGGGAAAAAAATACCAAAGCTGCCTGCTGCCATTATTAAAATGCAATATAGTTTTGAAAGTTCCAATTAAGCAATACAATATGATATAGAAATAAGAGTTATAGCTATTAGAGACGAAGTGATACAATTATTATAAAGATTAGCATATTAATAAAGAACTAGAAAATGGTTGGATACAATAACTAAATAAATGTTTATTTTAAAAAACAAATGCCAGCAATAACCAGTTAGAAAAATAGGGTTTTTAAATGATCCCACCCACAACTCCAACCCAAACCATAAAAGATCTGGCAATATTCCTAAGAAGTATGAGGACCTATATGAAGAGATAACAGAAGACTGTAACTATAAGGGAATAACAGTTCAGTCCAAATTCTTACTTATTTAACATAAGAGATATCATACAGGAAACTCCAGAATAAAATGAATTTGGGAAAGCTTTGCAGCATTAACACTTGTTTGCTGACCTTCTGAGAGTCTTTGTTAGTAAGTGAAACAGGTAACAGTGTGTATCTCATTGCTACAGAGTCTGTCAGTCTTAGGTAATCTCTATTTTAATGTTAATGCTGGTCATTTGTGCCTAAACTCCAAAGTGGGGGAAGGTATAGTGTGGCGTGTCCAACCCTTCACTTCTCATAATGGCCTGAACTAGTTTTTCAGGTTTCTTTGAGATTCCCTTTGGCCAAGAGGTGGATACATTCCCTCTGTTGGGGGGTGCTTAGGATTTTTTTTTTTTTTAGTTTATATTCCCCGTTTTTTGTTCAAGGTATGCAGAGGCAGTATCCATAGCTAAGCTTTTATTAGCTTAAGTTCTGGGGTGGTGTGACTACTTGCCCCTGGTCCATCATGCTTCTCAGTGGGACCCCTATTGCCAAGGAACTTAGAGTCAAAGACTTACATCCGATTAAACGTTTTAGGCTAGATAGGAGTGGAGGTGAGCAGGTATTCAGGAATCTTTAAAACCCCTTTTAGGTAACATAAGAGCCAAAAACCAAAAGCCAAAAAATAAGGTTATAAAGTTGAGTTATCTATAAATTTTCTGCATTGAGATACTGTAATCTTGACTTGTAGCAATTAGCTATACAAAACACAAGAATTTGTTCAGCTGTTTAGGCATCTGTGTGTCTGTCTTTGATTTGGAGGGTCTTAATTAATTTTATCCCTCAAAATCTGGCCCTTACAATGACACACTTCTGTGATAGCCCCTGGGCCTGGAGGGATTGAATAGTTTCAAATTCTGGAGGTAAAAAAAAATGTGAAGTATTAGCAATGTTTCACACAAAAAGGTCATAAGCCCTGCCTAGTTCTGACAATTACAGGAAAGGAAACTTATAGGTAGCTAAACATTTAAATTATTTAGTATCAAGGCACAGAATAAATTATATTATTTTAGATAGAGGCAAAATTATTAAGTGAATCTTAATTTTTCTGCGGTACAGGTGTGTCCCTGTGTCTCATGAAGGTAGTTTACTATGATTGTCATCTTTTCCCAGATCTAAAGATGGGGCTTTGGTTAACTTAGATTTGCTGTCAGATACTGGCAGGAGTCAGTGCCTTCTTTAGATGAGATATGTGTACCCAGGAATCAAAGCCCTGTAACTTCATAGCACAAGGATTAGTTAATAGCACCTGATAAGGACCTTTTTAAGGGGCTGGAGGTGGTGATGCTAGAGTCCATGACTTGACTGGAAGCTGTAAAAAGATTCTATAACCTTGCAGCAATTAACTTTTATAGCTTTGATAAACACCAGCAATAAGCCAGAGACTTAATTTTGGTTTCAATTTTGAAGATGTTTCTCAAAAATGTTAAAGGGCTCAAAATGTTTGATTAAAACAGATCCACAGGTCATTGTAAACCAATAGTTACTAATTTAACCAAAATGATCATTGAAAGACTTAAAGGCAATACAGAAGGTTACATGCATGTAACAACTTTCAGCCTTTTAGGTCTCAGTTTTTCTAAGCAATTAAAAATCTAATAAATACAACATACGAATTATTTTGATAAAAAGTAAAATGTTGTTTCTTATGCCAGTTACTAGAAAGGCAAAGAAAAACCTGCAGTGTGACTACTTCTCCTTATAGGAAGCCTATTTAGACAACCTGGAAGTTAAACCTGATGAAAAATGTACTTGAATTTAATCAGACACAGGAAGAATGTGTTCAGGGTTATGAGTATAGCAGAGGAATACATAGTTCTTAGTAACTGCATGAGAAGTTTCTTGATTACATTGAAAAATTTAAACCTATCAAGAAAGCCAAGAGTACAGATTCAAATTATACTGGAGGAAAATATTGCTTTTCTAGACCTTTAAGATAAAACATTTTAGCATCAGGCCACAACAATGGAACCAGAGGAAAAATGTTATAGAAGCTAATTTAAAAGCTGAAGGAGAGAGCGCTCATCTCAGGCCTTCTCAGGCGGAGGAAAAACTGAAAGCAGTGAGACAGCAATAGTTGAACTTCTGAGATACGATTCTGAGAAGTTTTTAAAAGAAACAGGCTCTAAAATTTTAAAAATCTCTTGTAATTTTATTAAGAGAAAAGTAATACCTTAAGAAAACCTTGTTGTAGGATAGGAGATCAATCTTAGAAAGACTATTAAAAATAATTCCCTTTGAATTATAGCCAACTTAATACATAAAATAACTTTTGTGATTTTCCTTTTACGAACCTTATCATAACTGACATAGACCATTTATTACATGCTTGGACTTTCTGATTTGTCCTAAAATTTTCTGTTTTCTGAATAACCAGCCATTTTATTTGAGGACAAGAATTTACTATATAAAATCTTTCTCATGTAAAATTATTTGCTTGTTTTATAACCTTTTTATTATAAACACATTTTTGTATCCACAACTTTCTTTATATCTCCCCTACTCACTGATTCTTTTTTATCTTCTTTTAGAAATAACTTTTAAATGACCTTTGAATTACTTACTCTTTTTTAAAAAATGAAAACACAACTTATGGAATTATATGTTAGAATTCTTATTCTTAGTAACCTTAAATTTTAGTGAAAACTTAGGAAGCAAGAAATCCTGAACTGTTTATCAGATGTTAGCATTGTCTGGATGAAACCATTCTACAGTTTTAGAAATATGTTTTCCCACATCATAATCTTTTCTTAATTGGAAGTGTCCCAGAAATCTAATTATTATCAATTGGATTGGAGCATCTATTATTTAATTCAAAACAATTTTAAGATTTAAAATTACATAAAAAGTCCACTTACAGGCATTTATCTCATTTACATGTATTCACTCTTTCCATTTTTTAATAGTTTATCTAAATTACTTCCGAAAATTGAGATACTACACAAAACTAATCATTATTTAAAGTTATTACTGGGCTGAGCGCAGTGGCTCACGCCTGTAATCCCAGCACTTTGGGAGGCCCAGGTGGGCAGATCATGAGGTCAGGAGATCGAGACCATCCTGGTGGCTAACACGGTGAAACCCCGTCTCTACTAAAAAAGATACAAAAAAATTAGCCGGGCGTGGTGGCGGGCGCCTGTAGTCCCAGCTACTCTGGAGGCTGAAGCAGGAGAATGGTGTGAACCCAGGAGGCAGAGCTTGCAGTAAGCCAAGATTGCACCACTGCACTCCAGCCTGGGCAAGAGAGCAAGACTCTGTCTCAATAATAATAATAATAATTTCCCTATTAACCATTTTTAAAATCTGTGAACAGTAAATGGTGAGCACCTAATTAAGAGCCTTAAAATTAAATGTATTTGCTGATGACTCAGAAGATTTAGCTGTTTCATTGAACTAACAATCTTAAGTTAATCTTATTTGTCAAAAAAATACACAAAGATTATTCTGTTTTTGGCTGAGTGTAAAGTCTTAGAACCTTTATGTCAACCCTTGACAGCTTAGTATACACACTGATACAAATATAAAACCACTTAGATAAAAACATATGTGGACAATTCTGAAGACATTTCTATTTTTATCAATAATTTTAAAACCAGTTTTATTAAAGATTCACATGCACTTGAAAAGCATTTGGACTTAATTTTTGAGTACTCGTTTACTTATAAGCCAATTTGATAGCATGCTAGACACAACACAGAACATAATACATGAACATTACATAAATATATCTAAACATGTATACATACATGCACAAAGAAATAACCAATAGCTTTTACCTTGGAACTCTAGCCATGAGATAGCATTACAAACTTACAGACATACAAAAGTTAGCTGGCTCCAAGTTCTTTTTCTGACAAAATTGAAACCTGTTCATATGGCCAAACTTCGTTTGCCCTAATAGGTAATACAAGGAAATCTGTGAACCAAAATTTTGGGTAAAACAGTCTCTAGGGCAATTTTTTAAACCCCTTTTACCCTTGTTTTTTAATTTTCAGTTTCAAACAACTTTCCAGTGTTTACATTCTAGTTAGACCATAAATGAGTCTTAGCACCAGCAGCTTAGTAACAGCAGATTTAAAGCAGGCAGGAAAGAGAGGAAGATAGCTTTAGAAGACGCTACTTAACTCTATAGCTTCAGGTTAACTATTTGAGCTCTAAATTTTTCTTGCTGTAATTTGCCCGTCAGTTTAAAATGTACACAAAAATGGACCATATGTAATCAGCTGGAGTCCCAAAGAGGATGACAAAATGGGGCCAGGATGTTGAAAGTTGTTTTTCCTCTTCAGTACTGGTTTCCTGGTTTGAACAGGAAAAGATTAAAAGAAGAGTGGAGAGGAGAAAGGAGGTCAGGTTTTGTGGGCAGGAAGAGGAAAGAAAAAAGAGGGAAGGGAGGCTTATGAGCCTTCCAGCCACTGCACAGTACCCCTACCTCTCTTGTTTATCTCCTCTTAGGGACAGCCTCAGCACCCCAGACCTGCAGGGTGTGGGATGAATCCCTCCCATTTCCTCAAGTCACCAGTCAAGGTAAACTGTTTCGAGCCCGAGGGAGCTAAGGGTGGTTTTGGCTGAGAAGAGGAGGGCTGTAGATGGCTTCTGAGATAATCAGGATGATGAAGTTGAAAAAAAAGGGGAAAGAGAGAGAGAGATCAGGGTGCACAAAGATCTCACACACGGACAAACAGGTGGTGTGCCTCCAAACAAATCCCTGGTTAAGGGGCTGTGTAGACTCCCACATCCCTCATTTCAGTTTCAAATGGCTCCCCCCAGGCAGCTGAGTCAGAACTGAGCAAAGGCCCAAGATTGCAGCAAATACAAACAAAACCAATGCATAAAATGCTCATATAGTGTCACTGGCAGCCAAGTCTAAATAAAGCAGAGCCCCAGCGACACCCCAAAAGAGGCAGAGGGTGGTTGGGTACACTCTGACTAATGTACCTAGTTCCAAAGTTTGTCAACTTCTCCAGAGGTCACTTTGCACCAGTGAAGCATTGAAGGTAGCAGACACCATAGCAGGAAGAAAAGAGAGGATCCCTAAGACAAAAGATTCTTGGCGACTGCTGGAAATTCCCTAATATCCTAGCCATGGGTCAGCCAGCCGTCAGCAACTAGTATTCACAGATGGCCCTTTGCCCCATCTGACAGAAACCAGACTGGCGGGCTCAGGCCCTGGAGCATACAGCACTCACCATATGGGACACTAAAATTGTAACCAGCAATTTTAAGTGCTGATTGCATAGTGCAATTAACAAGAGCGAGGTCTGAGAGAGAGAAAGTGACTTCATTGACCAAAACTAATAATGGACGAGTGGCCAGATTCCCATCCAAAATAACCATGTCCAATTTCTAGAAAAAAGGCAGGGGGCTTACAAAGGGAAACTTAATATGGGAGGCATGCAGGAGTTGTGCTGGTTACAAGGTTCTGTGTCTTGTTTTGGTGTCTATGTTGGGTCTTTTGTGTTGTCCCATGTTGATGTTGGGGTTAATAAAGTCACTTTCCACCAGACCTTGCTCTTATTAATTGGACTCTGTAAGTGGCGAGCAGCCGAATTGCATTTGGTTACAATTGTATACTAATAGGTCAGTCTGTCTATCTATCTTATTTTATTTTTGTTTTTCTAAGAAAAATTTTTATTTTTTTGAGATGCAGACTCGCGATGTCACCCAGGCTAGAGTGCAGTGAGTGGCGTGATCTCAGCTCACTGCAACCTCCGCCTCCCGGGTTCAAGCAATTCTCCTGCCTCAGCTTCCTGAGTAGCTGGAATTACGGCCGCCTGCCACCACGCCCAGCTAATTTTTGTATTCTTTAGTAGAGACGGGGTTTCTCCACATTGACCAGGCTGGTCTTGAACTCCTGACCTCAAGTGATCTGCTGGCCTCAGCCTCCCAAAATGGTGGGATTACAGGTGTGAGCCACCATGCCTGGCTGACTTGTCTATATTTGATGATTGACTTAAAAGTCAATAATATTTTAAAATAAAACGGTGTCAGAATTTATAAACTACTCAGATGTGCCAAAAATAAATTGCGTTTTTAATTTTTTGGTAACCTTTCTCATCTTGGTCTGAAGCATCCATTCCCATGGTAGGAAGGGGGATACCATGACAAAGGGAGACTTTAGGTAGCAAGTTATAAACATGATTCCATGCAGCTGGGCTCTACTGTGTCTTTTGGGTAAATGTTTAGTCTTTCAGGGCTTCTCCTTTCTTCTTGTTGCTTTCCAAAGCTTTTGGGTTAATGACTTTCAGTTTCAGTATGGGAGGGTGTTCCAGCCCCTTTGGTAGGCCACATTTGCATAAAGATGAGGGTGTAAGGGAGACCTGTGTCTGGGCTGAGGAGGTTGGTAGTGGTATGTGCTAATACTCTTTCTCCTTAACTCCTCCACCAACTGTTATGTAGCAGCAGTTATTTCAGACATGTGAAGAGCATTTAAAGTTGAAAAAGAAGCCATCTTTTTGCCCTCCACAAAGCCTGACTTTAAAGACTAGAAAAAGTTAGCTTTGGACTTTGAATCTGAACAAAGACCTTTTAATTTTAGGCTGTATTCTTCTTTTTCCCCAGACATAAGAAAAATGCTTTGACTTTAATAGCTAAAGGGGTTTAGCGAAAGAAAAATGCTTAAGGTTAAGAGAAAATGCCGGAGAAGATAGCTAAATGTACATTGTTCCTTCAGCTTAGCAGTTAAGAGGATGTGATTTCAAAGGCAGATAAAACTGGATTTAAAACCCGGTTTTTCCCTTATTTATTAGCTCTGTCATCTTAAGAATATTATTTGACATCTTCGAACCTTGGTTTCCTCATCTTTGTAAAATAGGTAACTACATTTCTAAAATGAGGATTAAATTAGTTAATGTATGTAAAGCATTGTGTGCTTTACACACAGCAGACACATAAGTGATAGTTATTAAGCAGACTTCAGAATTGCTTTCAAAGGAAAAAAATGAACATGACATTGGATAGGTTAGTAATGTTTAGGATATTTTATATACATATAAGTATATATAAAATATATAAATATATCAAGTTTCCTTGGAACTTTAAATATTCATATGTATTTATGGATATATGAATATTATATATATGGGTATTTCAAGTTCCAAGGAAAGAAACATGTCCTGATATTCCGTCTAATTGAATTCATTGTAAGGATGCACAAGAAGTAAAAGAAAAAAGGGGGTGGGAAATAGGGAAGAAGAGGAATTGTAGTAGTTGTAATAAGTTTTGGCTGTGTGGTAGCCTGAGTGTGGGTCTAGATTCTTGCAATCTAGAAAATCTTACTAACAGAAATACAGACTTAATAATTATTTCCTTCTAGTTGATCTGTATTGCCAATAAAGTAAAATGTAGTAATAGAGTAAGATCAAGCTCTTCATGTTATTTTAATGAATAAATGAGAGGTGTTGGGGTTATCTTGATTGTTTCCCCGTTTTTACTCAGGTAGTGAATGGAAAACCCGTTATGAGACACAACTTGAATTAAATGATCAACTAGAAAAGCAAATTGTTTATCTCAAGGAGAAGATGGAAAAAATCCGTGGAAACTCTTCAGGTACAAAACCAATCATATATATGTTTTATAATTTGAGTTAAAACTGATAAAACATTAAGTGTTCGTATTTGATTTATTGTAGATAGACTATCTTCTATTCGTGTCTATGAACGAATGCCAGTGGTGAGTAGAAATATGATTAAACACAAAGAATAATTGAAGGAAATTATGTCTATTTTTTTCAGATGTATTTCAAACAGAAGTTTGAAGACTAGGGCAAGGTCTAAATAAACTATTTTTTTTCAGGGGACCTGTTTGAAGTAACAACAAATAATTTTCAAGTAGCTATAGGTGGAGCATTAAGTTGCCAGCTATATTCACAGGCCTCCTGAAGAGCAGAGCATGTGTGGATATTGCGTTTTGAATCACTGCCAACCTCTAGAGAGAAAGATATAGACAAATACTGTGTTTTTGCTAATAATGGATCAAGGAGAAATAAGTGTTTTTGCACACTTGTTATTTTCAACCCAGACATGCCTTTATTTCCATATCTTGGAAAGTCAGGAATTTTTCTTTTTTAATTCGAAAAGTTGTATGTTTTCCCGTGTGCTGTCATAGAGTTATATCGCCCTCTTGTGGCATTTAGAAATCATTGCTAGAGCTGTGTTAAGCTTAGTGCCTTTTCTTAATTGCAGGTAGAATTTTATTAGTACCTACTGGATATAAAATATTGTAGCTACCTGCTTCTTGATAACTGAGGTTCAGTCCTAGCTCACAAGAGTGGGTATCACCACCTTCGTGGAGAGTAGCAACAAGTGCTGGTATGACTTGGTAAAATACCTTAGGGCATATCTAAGGAGCATTTAATTGGTTTTCTAACTACTACCTGAGACTCTGGAACATATTCATGTTGGCAAAACTACATTTATTTTCCTTGACGTATTTGTGTTATTTCTGAAGAAAATATGGTTCTCTAAGAGGTTTAATAATTTAGATCCAGAGACAGAGAATTACATTTCTGCACAGTAAAGGACTGAAGAAATATTAACACAAGGAAAAGTGAGACCACAGGCTAAGCAGAAAGGAAAGAGAATGAAAGTTCAGTATAAATAGTACTGATCCTCTCTATTCTCTGGACAGGTGCTTTCATGAGTGTTTGGTACTCATGAATCCAAGAGGGGTATGTCTGAGCAGCAGACATTAGAAATCTAGCCAAGGAGTCAGCGATAGAAGTGTCCAAATGCTAAACAAAAAGCACTGGGATCCAACAATCCTATATCCAGTCAAGAGACCCTCTTAGCTAAGGACGAAAGATATACTAAGTCTTATTCTTTGATATAAAGAATAATATTTGTGAAATTTAGACATGTAATTGTGTAACGCAGACCTCTTTTTGGCTTCCTGTTAAATTGACAATTAGGCAAAAGGGCTTAAATTACTTGTGTTTGTGGGATAGGGTATGAATTCAAACACCATCTGTAAATTTCCCGATTCTTTATCCTTGTTGTGGATTGTTTAGTGTTTAGGAGTAATCTGTACAGACATACTTATGAAATTGATGTGTTAGTTTGAATACTAATTTTGAGTAACTTCAAACTGCAGATTTGCTTATGGGTAGCAAAAGGATGGGCACTCGTTGTTGACTAGTATATGTGTAATATTTTAAATGTTGTTTGACAAAAATATATAAAATATTATCTTCAAACTATATCATTAAAGTGGACTTTATTTTAATATAATTTTATCTCTTTTTTATTGTGGTAAATGTACATAATGTAAAATCTACCATTCAGCATTTTTTTTTGAGGGAGGGTCTCACTTTGTCACCTAGGCTGGAGTATAGTGGTTCAATCTCAGCTCACTACAGCCTTTGCCTGCTGAGCTCAAGCAATCCTCTCACCTCAGCCTCCTGAATAGCTGAGACTACAGGTTCATGCCCCCATGCCTGGCTAATTATTGTATTTTTAGTAGAGATAAGGTTTCACCATGTGTCCCAGGCTGGTCTCAAGCTCCTGAGCTCAAGCAATCCACCTGCCTCACCTCCCAAAATTACGGGTATGAGTCACCACACCCTGCCTGTTTCAGCCATTTTGAAATATAAAGTTCAGTGTGATTTTAATATTTTGGAAAAAATTATTCACATACGTGAGAGTGAAGCTTTAGTCTTTGTTCTGATATTAGGTTGATGCCTCCAACCTTTTTTTTCTTGAGGTTCACTTTTCTCCTCTGAAGGTAAGATAGATTATATTATCTTCTAAGTGTCTTTCAGTGGGGTAATTTGTTAAAATTTTATTTTAGCATGATGTATCAATTAAAGGTTGCATTTGACAAAATATAAGAGAAAGGTTTAAACAAGTAAAGTTTTTTTTTTTTCCTCTTTTCTTTTTTTTCCTCATGTGACAGAAAGTATGAGGTTTGCAGTCCAGGGGTGGTGCAGTGGCTGTATAATGCCTTCAGGAATCCAGGCTTCCCCTAAGTTTCTACTCTGCCATCTGTTTGTGAGTGGCTTTTGTCCTCGTGTTTAAAGATGGCTGCTTCACCTTCTCAGCTGCTTCACATTATCATTGAAAAAAAGAAGTAGGTGAAGGAGAAATGGCCAAGGTGAAAGCCAGTCAGGTCTACTCCCCTTCAAAGAGCTTTCTAAGATGCTGCTCCCCTTGACATTTCACTGGGAGTTAGAACTGTATCATATGGCCACCTTTGTGTGCGTGACAGGCTGGGAAATGTAGTGTTTTACTGAATATACAGGAAGAAGAGAAGAGTGGATTGTGAGCGTACAGTTGGCTGTATCTGCCACACACAAAGTCATTTAAAGTGAAGGCATTTCATTTTATGTATTCAATTCATTCATACATATTCATTCAATATGTATTCAGTTGATATTATTTGAAAAATAAAAGGCAAAGAAAGAGAATATTATAAAATCAAACATATCCACTGTTGACAGTTCTGTTTTTAGTAATTTTTGTATGCATACATATTGATTTAAAAGAACAACCAAATGAATAAGTCAGCCAACAAACAAAGTGAAAAAGAATTACAGCTAGTTTTTATTGTTTAAAATATAATTATAACCTTACTGCATGGGCAATTTTGAATCCTATGCTAATCAGGATAATTAAGTCAATTATTTCTTATGCTATATTCTCTTCATGTGCATTTTTCAAGGCTATATTATGTTCCATTGTGTTGGAATGCAAATGTTCAATTACTTTTCCCTATAACTTGGTATTCTAGGTTGTTTCTGGTTTCAATTTTGAGTTAAACAAAACCCACAGAATATATTATGGCGAGCAACTCCATATTCTAGTATTTATAAATCTTCAGATCTGTGTCCCTTTTTTATTTTAAATTTTTTAATGAAAACAATTTATAGAGTTGAGATCTCTTTTGTTCTCCTCCCTGTCTTGTTTTTGCTTCCTTTTCATAGGGAAGGATTACCATGAATTTGGTATATATTATTTCAGTTTATTTTTTAATATCTCTCCACATGTTGTATGTATAAAAATGCATTAAAAAATATCATACTGTGCATATCATTCTTGGTGACCTGATCACCAAGTCATAAGTGTCACATGAAGTCATGAAACTACAAGGGATTGCTCGGGAAAATATATGCAGTCTGAAAAATATGATTGAGGTTGAAACCTTGGGGAATGCTAACACTTAAAGTGTTAGGAGGCAATTTAGGGGATATTATTGAGAAGGAAAAATACTGAGAAAGGATGAGGGGGACAACTGGAAGAATGGTATCATAGAAGTCAAGAAGGGGATGGCTTTATGAATGTTCAGCAAAAGAATGTTCTAGAAACTTCTGCTGTAGGAGAGGATAAAATGCGTTGTCCAGAGTTCAGGCAAATTATTCAAAAGTGAAGAAAGAAGTGCCAATTAGAGGCCAGGATGTTAGGAGAAAATGTGATGTGGTGTGTAGTGGAAGAGTGGGGCTGAGAAAATGTACTGAGTATAACCTATTTTACCTAGAAACATAGGTTTTGGAATCAGACCATCATGGCTCAAATTCAGACTATGGGACACTGAGGAAGCTATTTCATCTCTCTGAGGCTTAATTTCCTCATCTGTAAAATTGAGTTAATTAAACTGTCATGCAGGGTTACTGTGAAGATTATTAGAGATAGATAAAACAAATAGCATAGTGCCTGACATAGCAAGCTCTGTGTTAGTTCCTGTCCTATTTTCCCTTGATAAAGGAAAAGTACTATTTTATTAAAACAAGTCTGTTGTGAAATTAACCCCAATCACCTTGGAAGGGATAAGCATAAGGCCCGAAGATATGCAATCTTTTCACTTATTAAGCTGTGCTGTTATATAAGTTGTGAATCTTCTGAATCTTCTGGTACCTTCTCAAAACTATAATAGAATTCATTAGATATTTAATACTCTTTTTTTGAGACAGAGTCTCACTCTGTTGCCCAGGCTGGAGTGCAATGGCGTGATCTTGGGTCACTGCAACCTCCGCCTCGCGGGTTCAAGCCATTCTCCTGCCTCATCCTCCCAAGTAGCTGGGATTACAGGTGCCCACCACCACGCCCAGCCAATTTTTGTGTTTTTAGTAGAGATAGGGTTTTGCCATGTTGGCCAGGCTGAACTCCTGACCTCAGGTGATCCGCCTGCCTCACCTCCCATTACAGGCGTGAGCCACCTCACCTGGCCGGTATTTAACACACTTAATAAAAAGTGCAGAACCTCTACTTCCCTTGAGCTAGTTGGGTGTACATTTTCTAGTCTCTTCCATGTGCATTCACCAAAAAGGGACTTAGTGCCTACCTGAAATTCCTTCCAAGAGTTCCCAGGTATGTTCATCAAAGACTTACAGCCATCTTAATGTATATTAAAGGTGTATTCTTTTTTAATTTTAATGTTTAAGTTCTGGGGTACAAATGTACAAATGCAGGATGTGCAGATTTGTTACATAGGTAAACATGTGCCATGGTGGTTTGCTGCACCTGTCAACCCATCAGCTAGGTATTAAGTCCAGCATGCATTAACTATTTTTTCTAATGCTCCCCACTCCCTCCACCCCACTCCCTAACAGGCCCCAGTGTGTGGTGTTCCCCTTTCTGTTTCCATGTGTTCTCAACGTTCAGGCCCCACTTGTAAGTGAGAACATGTGGTGTTTGGTTTTCTGTTCCTGCATTAGTTTACTGAGGAAATGGCTTTCAGCTCCATCCATGTCCCTGCAAAGGATATGATCTCTTTCCTTTTTATGGTTGCATGTTATTCCGTGGTGTATATGTACCACATTTTCTTTACCCAGTCTATCACTGATGGGCATTTGGGTTGATTCCATGTCTTTGCTATTGTGAATAGTGCTGCTTAATGTATACTTTTATATACATTATGTATGTATACTAATGTGTATTAAAAGTATACATTCTGAGGATTTCCCCAGAAATTTGGTAGGTCTGGAGTAAGGCCTGGACATTTGTATTTTTTTGGCAGGCATCTCAATAGGCTCTATTACAGAGCACCACTTGAGATCAACAGATGTAGGGGATCTATATCCCTCAGAGAAAGATGTGCAATACAGACTTGCTTGTGAAAAGTTAGTGTAATGGCTCTTATCAACAAGCCCCACCATACCCCTGCAGTCAATTGTATTGCAAAGTGGAAGTCCTGTTCCTTGACTCATTTAGAGTCATAAAAGTGATGACCCCTATTTTTCTCTTTCTCTAGTTTTCCTATCAATACCCACCCTCTTGTCTTCCATGACACCCAGGCAGCTTGGATTCTTCAGGGAAATCTCTTACCAGTGCATATGCTTTGTCAGTCAGATGGATCCTGTTCCTAAAGCTAGCAAGACTAGCTGGTGGTGAAAAGAATAGGGGAGAAGGTGTAGAAACGAGAAACATTATTCAGGAAAATACTTAATCTCATTCAAACATTCTCTGGAAGACTCTTGATCAATTTGTAGAAAACCAATTCACAGGAAGCCAATTTGCCAAAATCCAAATCCTTGAATATGTTCTAATGAATATAATTTTATTTAGTAACATTTTAAGAAATGTTTGTTGAAAACCCAAAACTTACGGAAATGATTTAGCATTTAGTATTATTATCGAAAATATACTTAGAAAAAGAATATATTTCAGGTTATACGTTCACGTATATGAATGATTTTCCTTGAAGCGAGTTTTTAGTAAGTTTGGAATTATAGGTAGATTGGTCTCCCTGCAAATTAATCCTTTGGTGAATTGACTTTTTGAAATATTAATCTTTGGCTGTTTGTCTGTCTTCCCTTCTGACATATGTTTCAGTTTGCCATATGACAAACAGGAGAAGAACATATTACAAAAGCAGGAGAAACCTGAAGGAAGAAATGGTTTTAAGTCTTAGTTCTTTTAAACCATCGGGCCATTGTTTTTATCCCACACCGGGCTCTCCTCTCTATTATTCTCTGTTGTCCATGTCATGTCCCACCCTCTGACTTCCAGTCTGTCTTATTACTTATTGACCTACTTATCTTTTCTTCATCCTGATGCCCCACACCATTTGCCTGACTGTGATACTAATTTCTTTCCTTTATCATGATTCAGATTCTTCTTTTAGCTGTGCTGCCTGATGGACATCCAGCCCTATTTGGGTCTTCCTGGGACTCATTACCTCGCTGTGCACCCAGTTAGTCATGCTCCCACTGGGCTCACTCTGGTAGCTTATGCCTTCTGAAAACTCTTAGAAATTTTGTTTTTAATGCCTGATAACCAGTCATTAAAATTAATGACCCTAGAGCACTATTGACACGCATTAAGTATTTTTAAAGTATTGAGGTTACTAAAATGATATAACCTCTGAGACTGCCTCCTGAGGTGTTCTGTGACAGCCCTCACTGGGTTTGTGTTCTCCCCAAGATCAGAATGGTCAATTAGGGGATAGGTACATAGCTTCAAATCATGAAGAGAAAAGTTAGTTTAAACAGATTTTATATGTAAATCTAGTAACAGTGCTGTCCACAAGGGGGCATTTGGTATTTAAGTATGTAGAAGGCTGTATTCTTTCATTGTTGCAGTTGCCTATATTGAAAAGTACTGTATGTCTAGGAGCTGTGCTTAACTAAATTGTGTTCTTCTGCTTTTTCTTTTGTAAGCTTCAGTGGAGTGATTATTTTTTACTTTAGTTTTTTGTGTTCTTTAGCAATTGTTGATTTAAAAAATAATAAGCAGCCAGTGGAATTTTCTTTCTGCTTTGGATAGAGGTGAGGGACTTTTTAAAAAACC